TTATTAAGTATACAATAACACAAAATTTTGCAATATATCTGTCATATTATTTTATTTTCTATTAACAAATTGATTGAATAATGTTTAAAAAATTATTATTGACTGCCAAAATCAACATTTGAAAATTTTGTAAAGAGTTATCAAAATTGCATAATAATATATTATTATTATTGATAAATTTAATAATCTTAACATGTATATTAACAAATGTGAAAACATAAAAACATATAAAGAATTGTTATTACACAACAATTGCAAAATATATTTAATTAAAAACTGATTTTTTTATGGAATGGCAATAAATATAAACATTTATTTTTGGCATCAAAATAACTCTTTATATAACTTAATTATTTGCTAAATTTATAATATGCATATAGAACAAAATATTAATGCACATAAGCCTGAATTATAATATCGAAAACAAAACAATATTAAAAAATATGCGAAGGCTAATTCGTAGTATCACATTACAGGTTCGAAATTTGCACGAGTTATCGGTGAATCTTTTTACTTATTAGATAGAGTTGATTTTAATATGCATAATACATCGCGATAAATATATTACAATTGAGAAAATGTACTATCATTATGATGCGGCGCAATTATGTGACAGGAGAAAGGAGAGAAAAGGAGGAAAGAAGCGATGCATTCAGCAAATAAGTTTACATAGACCTTCAGTGTTCGTTTGCTATAGTGATAATCATGTCTACTACTATCCAGCAAGGTCTGCGTCCTTTTTTTCTTATGTGTTTTATTGTGGGTTTAGGTGTGTATCCCAAAAAACTATCAAACGAATCAAGATTTCATAGATGGATTGCATACTTAAGTATTCTATATTTTTTGGCAATCTGGTTTGCATATGGTTGTGTCTTTTCTTATATGTTTACCATTTTTTGATTAAAAATCATATTTCAAAGTAGTTCTACTGTTGTAATTAAACATATAATTAACCATTTTACTGCAATTATGTCTGCAATTTTAATTTTTTATCATCAAAAGGTACGCCCAATATTTTACTTTTCTACTTAGAAAATATGCTAATCATATATGTTATATTCATGTTTTACATATACAGCATGTCCGAAAAAGAATTCCGTGGTGTCTAACACAAATATTTTGGTCATCATGGGATAATCTTTTGAGCATATTCGTGAAGCATAATATTCAAGTTTTAGTACAAATGTTGTGCAGACTGTGCTCAACAACCTAATCTAACCTAACCAGTTGCCAGGAAAATGAATATGCACATGAGCTGCCATTGCTTGACCACCGCGAAGTCTTGATTTGACGCCAATGGCTTTTTTCTTTCGGGGATACATAAAAGACATTGTGTAGCAAGAAAAAATCGGTTCTTCACCATTCGCGTCATAGAATAACATAAGCAGTTCCTACGAATATCATCCAAGTGTGACCTGAAGTGAAATTCCGTTTTGATATCTATAAGGCTGTAAATGGTGCACACATTGAGTTACATTACAGGGAATAAAACTTGTAACTTGTACTTTAATAATATATGTATGTTACATACCTTTCTGTTTTAAAATAAATTTAAAAATATTAATAGAAAACCCCGGAGTTCTTTTTCGGACAACCTGTAGTTAATATCATTAAACTAATCATAACTTTTAGACATATTAAATTGTCTATTGATGTATATTATATAAATCAACTATCTATTATATAACCGAAAATTTTTATTTTTTTTACATCAGTTTACATCTATTTTTTAAAGAATCTTATGCTAAAGCACAATTAAGTATAAATGCATTTTTTTCTGGATTACTATTGTGTTTCTAGTGAACGTTATCACTACTATTGTAATTTTTACAAATATATAAAATAGTGATTTGAAATACTTATTGTAAGTTTATAAGAAAAATTTAGCTTTAATTAATCAGAACAATATGTCGTTTTTACATATACTTAATTTTTTAGCATATGAGAAAGCCTTTACTTGACACAAATACTTTGTGTCGTAAAAAATACGGTAGTAATCTAATTGTAACAATATGGTTTTAGAAGCTTCAAATGTATATGAAGAAACTTGCCGCAGTAGATGACACTTTAGAAAAGCTAGGCACTACAAAAACGTATCAAAAATTGCATATGTTATCAAAAAGAGTGATAATTGGATACATTGTGTATGCTCTTATAAAAAATATTTACGACACAATATGGTGCTTAAAATTTGTACAAAAAGATTCTTGGAGAATTTTATTATTTCCCATAATGAATTATCCCAATCATGTTAATGAATTCACGGTGTTAATATTTATCTTTTTATTATGGTTTGTACTATATTTATTTATTCTGCTAATTAACACAGGTCTACCTAATTTATATATCTGTATCTATTTTTATTTATACATTTGATATATTTTTTGTAATTTTTTTTCTAATTAATAAATTGCAATTATTACTATAGTAACAATTTTAGTAATTTTTTATGAAACTAGAAAAGTTTTTTCAAAATTTTGATATAAAAAAAATTTATTTTAAAATTAATTCTTAAAGTTTGTTGTGTATTATGCAATTTATAAGTCAATCTTTACACAGGTATATCGGCATCAGATTTGACAAAATAAACGACTATATGCATTGCTTATTGTTAAAAGAAGAGCATGGACATAAGTATGTGTGGAAGAAATCTGTTATTATTCGTGAATATTTCTTGCATAGATATAATTACAAGCGGACATTCTGGACTTTAATGTAAATCAATATACGCAAATATAATAATAAAAAAATTATATATTGTAAAACCTTATAGTTTATAGTTTTTCATAATAAAACGTGTATCTTTTTTGTTAGGCATCTTCACTTAGAATTATGCCATATTGCTCGTAAATTAAACGTGATATTTGGAATACAAATAACTTTTAAAATGGTGCAAAACCTTGGATACTTAACATCAGTTTGTTATTATTTCTGGCGTACATTGGAGCAGAAACATCTAGATCGCTGGACATCATTAATAAGTCTTATCGGCTTTGTTTTTTTCTTTCTTATATATTTCGTTAGGCTCTATGCCGTAAATCATATTTGTGAAGACGTTAAGAATAAGGTAAAAAAAGCATAAAATATATAAAAGATTACTAAATTTTAAGACAAGTTGCAAAATTTTAGGCTAACAATATTGGCAAAGTAATTCATCAAACGACAAAATACTTTTCGATATGCTGATATTTGGAAAGAGGTAAGAAAAATTTAGACAACTTAAAATTACTTACGAGAAATGTTAAAATTTGTCAATTAAAATTGTATAATAATTCTATATTGTATCTTATCTCTATAGATGGATTTCTTTGTTTTGCACTTAACGCAACATCCCCTGACGTTTACTGGATTGGGTCTTTTCTATCTTGGGGATAAGTTTCTTCAAAAGGTTTATGTTTGCTTTGATATTTTTAACAGTTTTATGTTTATATTTTGTTTTATATTATAAATAATTGAAAAACCAAAAATTATGTTAAAACTATTTTTATTATAGGTAAAGCTGTAATTGCTGTTTTTTCTTATCACACATCTTGTAGAATATCATATATTTTATTTTGGTTTACAATATATCTCAATAAAATATTGTTTTATTTTTAATAAATATTAATAAATACGTTGTTTACAGTTCTTTACAGCAATTGTAACGTTTGTTATTATTATGGTACAGTTGAATATGCAATCATTGGCTGATTAACTTTTAAGGATAGAAGTTATAAAACTACTCGTTTGGTTTAAAAATTGCAGCATCAAAATTATTTCTTGCAATTGTATCAGTAAAATGTCGTTCAGCCAATGTATTAGTTAAATATGTAAGAATATAAAATTGCAACATTTTTATTATGCCATAATATTTTTTTCTCTTTTAATAAACTAATCATGTTTGCATAATTTTAAATGTAATTATGTTTAAATAAGTTTTATGTGAAAATGTACATTTTATTTTGTATTGTTAGGCGTTAAAATTTTATAATATAAAAATTGTTAAGCCTAGCAATTTAACATTTACATTTTCTTTATTACAAAGTATTAAAATCTTATATGTATTTTAATCAAAGAAATCTGATCCGGAATGTTAAAATGTACATTTTACTCGAATGCAGTAAAAAAATGTGAATTGTAAAAGCCTAAGTTTATTAAATGTTATAATAGAAAATTATAAAGCATAAAAATGAATAAAATATAATTAATTTAAAATTTAATGTTAAAATGTACATTTTTTGGGGGGGAATTTTGTACATTTGTTTTATTATTAGCAATTTTTTTCTGAGGTGATTTCTAACAAAAAAAGAACAGGAAGTGAACGATATAAAAAAATCATAGAAAAGCTAAGAACTTATTTCATTGTTAGTCAATGTTATGTTATATTAATTACAATTAAATGTCCATATCAAATTTTGAAAAATTTTAAAAGTTTTATAAAGGTTACATAATAATATAAATAAAATTAATACATATAATTGTCTTAAAATATGTATTAACAATTAAATGTGAAAACATAAAAACATATAGAGAATTATTATTACACAATAATTGTAAAATATATTTAAGTAGATGCTTAAACTTTCATGTAGAATGACAACAAACATAAGCATTTATTTTTTTCACCAAAATAACTTTTTATATAACTTAATTACTTGCTAAATTATAATAATATGCATTTGGAACAAAATATTAATTCTCGTAAGCCTCTATTATACATATACATAACAATATCAAAAAGAAAACAATATTAAAAAATACGCGAAAGCTGATTAGCAGTATCACATTATAAGTTCGAAATATGCACAAGTTATCGGTGAATCATCTTTTCGTTTATTAGAAAGAGTTGATTATGTTAATGTGCAAAAAATACCGCGATGAATATATTACAATTAAGTAAACGTACTATCATTGCGGCGCAATAATGTGCCAGAGGAAAAAAGCGAAAAGAAGGAAAACAAGCGATTCAACCAGCAAATAAATTTATACAGACCTTCAGTGTTCATTTGCGATAGTGATAATCATGTCGACTACTATCCAACAAGGCCTGCGTCCTCTTTTTCTTACGTGTTTCATTCTGGGTTTAGGCGTGTATCCCATAAAACAACCAAACAAATCAAGATTTTATAGATGGATTGCATACTTAAGTATTCTATATTTTTTGGTGAAATGGTTTGTTTATGGCTACGTTTTTTTCTATATGTTCACCGTTTTTCCACCGAAAATCTTATTTCGGAGCAATTTTACTATGATAATTATAACAACGATTAACCATTCTACTGCAATTATGTTTGCATTTTTAATTTTTTATCATCAAAAGGTACGCCCGATATTATACTTTTTTGTATTTATTAATTATATGCTAAACATATATGTTATATTCATATTTTATATATACAGCATGTCCGAAAAAAACTCCGAGGTGTTGAACGCAAGTATTTTGGCCACCATGCGATGGTGTTTTGAGCATATTCGTAAAGCAACAATATTCAAGTTTTAGTTCAAATGTTGTGCAGACTGTGCTCAACAACCGGTTCCCAGGAAAATGAATAGGCAGGTGAGCTTCCATTGTTTGCCCACCGCAAAGTCCCGATTTGACGCCAATAATTTTCTTCTTTCGGGGATACGTAAAAGACGTTGTGTATCAAGAAAAAATCTAGTTTCTTCACTATTCGCGTCATGGAATAATATAAGCAGTTCTTATGAATATCACTCGTGTGTGGCCTGAAGTGAAATTTTGTTTTAAGTTATATTAATAGAGAACCTCGGAGTTCTTTTTGGGACATTTTTTAATATCATTAAAATAATCGAAACTTTTAGACGTATTAAATTGTTTCTTGATATATGTTAAATCAACTATCTATTGTATGATCAAAATGTTATATTTTTTTTACATCAGTTTAAATCTATTTTTTAAAGAATCAGTTAACTCTTTACATAATGAAAAATATGCTTTAAACTCTTTATAATTTAGATCTGTGGCGCACTCAGGATATTTTTTCGGCGGGAGGAAAGGGGGGGGGAAGAGTTAAAATTCACACACAAAATGAAACAGTATGACCAAAAGTCAGGATAATTTTATATTTCACACTAAAAAACATAAATATGTTACATCGTTTAATAAAAAATGTAATTTATTTTTAAAGTAGCATAATTATAAATTGATATCGAGTTTTCTTGGTTTTTCTTAAATAATCAGATCAACTGGATTGCTTAAATAATCAGAAAAATTGTCTATATACATATATGGCTGCTAGATGTTTCTTAAGAAACTTATTTAAATCCTTTGACAATATAAATATCTTAAAGTAGATATTATATACGTTTACACAGCAGTATAGCTGGAGAAGTTATTATAATTATTTGTGTGCAAAGATAATGGTATGAACTTTGAATTATTAAAATTGTGACTATAGTTAATAACAGATAAAAAATACAAATGTTTGAACGCATTTTATTTAACTATAAATTTTTTGCTTTTTGCTGTTAAGTTAATAAAAAAATAAGATTAATTAAATTTCGGAGTGGGGGATTTATCTCTTCCAATTCCCCTTCCGCCAATGGGTGCACCACTGATTTAAATATATAAGAAAAATTTAGATTTAATTAATAAAAACAATATGTAGTTTTTATATAAACTAAATTTTTTTAGCATATAGGAAAGTCTTTACTTGACACAAATACTTTAGAGTGTCGTAAAAAATACGGTAGTAATCTAATTGTAGCTTTATATGGTTCTAGAAGTTTCAAATATATATGAAGAAACTTGCCGCAGTGGATGATACTTTAGAAAAGCTAGGCACTCCAAAGACGTATCGAAAATTGCATATGTTATCAAGAAGAGTGATAATTGGATGGATTGTGTATATTCTTATCATAGATATTTACAATATAATGTGGTGGTCCAACAATTTAAAACAAGTTTCTTGGGGAATTCTTTTATTTCCCATAATGAATCATTCTACTCATATTAATGAATTCACAGACTTAATATTTATCTTCTTGTTGTGGTACGTTTGTACTATATTTATTTATTCTGCTAATTAACGCAAGTCTACCTAATTTATATACCTGCATCTATTTTGATTTATATATTCGATATATTTTTTGTAATTTTTTCACTGATTGATAAAACGCAATTATTATTATAATAACAATTTTAGTATTATCTTACAAAACCATTAAATAGTTTTTCCAAAATTTTTTGATATAAAACAGATTATTATTTAATAATATATTAGAAGGGCATTGAGAGCCGTCGCGGGATGTTAGTGCAAAATTTTTTATTTTTCTTAAAGAAATTAATTTATTAGTCTACATAAGACAGTTAAGTTGTACACCGATCTCAGATCGAAATACTTCAAGTGTACGAAAAGTTTAGTACATTGTTCTCACATATGGAGAATCATCATGTACTGATAGGAATTATTGGAAAGAAAGGAATAGAGAAAAAATATCAAGGCGCGAGCGGCTTTGTTATTATTTAAATTTATTTTTAAAGTTTGCTGTGTATTATGCAATTTATGAGACAATTTTTATACAGGTATATCGGTGTCAGATTTGACAAAACAAACGACCATCTGCATGGTTTATTGTTAAAAGAAGAGCATGGACTTAAGTATATGTGGAAGAAACCTGTTGTTATTCGTGGATATTTTTTGCATAGACATAATTACAAGCGGACATTCTGGACCTCAATGTAAATCAATACACGAATATATAATAATAAAAAAATTATATATTGTAATCCTTATAGTTTATAGATTTTTATAATATAAAGCATTTTTTTTCTTTTTTGTTAGGCATCTTCATTTAAAATTATGCCATATTGCTCGTGAATTTAACGAGATATTTGGAATACAAATAATTTTTGAAATGGTGCAATTCCTTGGAAACTTAACATCAATTTGTTATTATATCTGGCGTACATTGGAACAGAAACATCATGATCACAAAAAATTACTATTAAATTTTTTTCGCTTTAGTTCTTCGTTTTTTGCACGTTTAATCAGACTTTATGCGGTAAATCATATTTGTGAAAGTGTTAAGAATAAGGTAGGAAAAGCGTACAATATATACATTAAAAGTTACTAAATTTTAAAACAAGTTGTAAAATTTCAGGCTAACAATATTGATAAAGTAATTCATCAATTGACAAATACTCTTCGATATGCTGATATCTGGAAAGAGGTAAGAAAAATTTAGACAGCTAAAATTATTTAAAGACATGTTAAAATTTGTTGATTAAAATTGTATAATAATTATATATTGTATCCTATCCCTATAGATTGATTTCTTTGTTTTGCACGTAATGCAACATCCCCTGAAGTTTACTGGATTGGGTTTCTTCTATCTTGGGAATCAGTTTCTTCAAAAGGTTTACTTTTGCTTTCATATTTCTCACAGTTTTATGTTTATATTTTGTTTTATATTATAAATAACTGAAAAACCAAAAATTATGCCAAAATTGTTTTTATTATAAAGCTGTAATTGCTGTGTCTTCTTATCACACATCATGTAGGATATAATATATTCTATTCTGGTTTGCAATATATCTTAATTAAACATTGTTTTCGTTTTTAATAAATATTAATGAATACGTTTTTTTACAGTTTTTCACAACAATTGTAACGTTTGTGATTATTATGGTACAGTTGAATGTACATTCATATTCTGATACTTACAATTAGCTTTTAAGAATAGGAGTAATAAAATTGCTCGTTTAGTTAAGAATCGCAGCATCAAAATTACTTTTTGCAATTATATCAGTAAAATGTCATTTAGCTAATGTATTAGTTAAATATGAAGGAATATTAAATTGCATCATTTTTATTATGCCACAATATTTTATTTTTTTTTAATAAATTGATCATGTTTGGATAATTTTAAATGTAATTATGTTTAAATTTTATGTAAAAATGTACATTTTATGCATTGTTAGACACTGAAATTTAATAGTATAAAAATTAGTAGACCTAGCAATTTAACATTTACATTTTTTTTATTACAAAACATTAAAATTTTATATGTATTTTAATCAAAGAAGTCGGATCCAAAATGTTAAAACATTTTACTTGCATGCAGTGAAAAAAATGTGAATTCTAAAAAGCCAGGTCTATCAAATGTTAAGATAGAAAATTATAAAGCATATAAATGAATAAAATGTAATTAATCAAAAACTTAATGTTAAAATGTACATTTTTGTTTTGAGAATTTTGCGCATTTATTTTATTAATTAGCAATTACTTTTTTTTCTGGGATTATTTTTAACAAAAAGAGAGCAGGAAGTGAATGATATAAAAAAATCAAAGGAAAGTTAAGAACGTATTTCATTCTTAATTAATGTTATGTTATATTAATTATAATTAAGTGTCCAAACCAAATTTTTTTGAAAAATTTTAAAAGTTTTATAAGGGTTACATAATAATATAAATAAAATTAATACATTTAATTTTCTTAAAATATTAATTAATAATTAAATGTGAAAACATAAAAACATATAAAGAATTATTATTACACAACAATTGTAATATATTTAATTAAAATTTAAAACTTTTTTGTAGAATGACAAAACATATGCATTTATTTTTTTCACCAAAATAACTTTTTATTTCATTTAATTATTTGCTAAATTTTTAATAATTTGCGTACACAAAACATGCACGAAAGCCTATGTTATATATAATATATAACAATATCGAAAGCAAAACACCATTAAAAAATTCGTGAAGGCTGATTAGTAATATCACTTTATAGGGTCAAAATATACATAATTTATTGGTGAATTATTGTTTTATCTATTACAAAGAGTTGATTATTTTAATATGCATTAGTGCGGCGATAAATTGTTATTACGCTTAAGAAAATGCACTATTATTATGATTCGACGCAATTAAGTGAGGGGAAAGGAACAATAAGCTCAGGAAATAAATTTATACAGACCTTCAGTGTTCGTTTGCGATAGTGATAATCATGTCGACTACTATACAACAAGGGCTGCGTCCTCTTTTTCTTATGTGTTTTATTGTGGGTTTAGGCGTATATCCCATAAAGCAACCAAACAAATCAAGATTTCATAGATGGATTGCATACTTAAGTGTTCTATATTTTTTGACAATCTGGCTTGTTTATGGTTATCTTCTTTTTTATACGTTCACCACTTTGTCATTAAAAATCATCTTTTTTCAGAACATTACTGTTATGGCCATTATGGTGATTCAGTATTTTACAGCAATTGCGTCTATAATTTTAATTGTTTATCATCAAAAGGTACGTCCAATGTTATACTTTTCTGTAATTTCTCTGTCTATAAATATATGCTAAACATATATATTATATTCATATATTATAAATATACATATTATTTAAATAGTCATAACTTTTAGACATATTGTATATTAAATTAACTACTTATTGTGTAATCAAACTTTTTTTTTTTATTACATTAATTTGTTATTTTCTAAATAATTACTAAACTCCTTTACAAAATGAAAAGTATTTCTTAAGTTTTTTATAATTTAGATGTAGTAGTGTCATATACATAATTATAAAACCTAACCCAGTAAACACAAAGTAACGGCAACACAATATTAATATTATAATGTCCCACTCGACAATATAATTGTTATGTACAAGACATTTTATAATGCAGTTACATTGTTAAGTGAGAAATTATAACATTGATGTTAGTGTTACCTTGTGTTTACTGGGAAGTATAGATGCGTTTTGAGCCTAAATTATTAGTGTGTTTCTAGTGACCGTTATCACTACTATATTGTAATTCTTACAACTTCATTAAATAATAATTTTTAATACTTATTGTAAATTTGTAAGAAAAATTTAGTGTTAATTAATCAAAACGATACATAGTTTTTATATAAACTTTATTCTTTTAGCATATAGGAAAATCTTTACTTGATCTCAAATACTTTGGCGTGTCATAAAAAATACAGTAGTAACTTAATTGTAACTTAATATGGTTCCAGAAGTTTCAAATATATATGAAGAAACTCACCGCAGTGGATGATACTTTAGAAAAACTAGGCAATCCAAAAACATATCGAAAGTTGTATATGTTATCAAAAATAATGATAATTGGGTGGATTGTGCATACTCTTATCATAAATATTTACAGTACAATAAGTTGCTCCCAATTTTACAATCAAATTTCTTGGAGATTGCTTTTACTTCCCGTGCTCAGTCATCCTATTCATATCAATGAATTCACAGACTTAATATTTATGTTCCTATTATGGTATGTTTGTACTGTATTTATTTATTCTACCGTATTTATTTTTTACTTTATTATTTGATTAATATAGGTTTACTTAAAATCATATATTTGTATGTATTTTTAATTATATATTTGATATATATTTTGTAATTTATTCTGTGATTTATAAATTGCAGCTATTACTATGGTAACAATTTTAGTATTTTTATATGAAACAGTTGTTCTTGAAATTTATAATATAAAAAAATTATTTAAATTAATTTTTAAAGTTTGATATGCATTATGAAATTCAGAGAGGGGTTCAACTGCCTATATTCCCATTTGCCAACAGCTTTGTTTGCTTACAACATTTTGCCGACAGCTTCAATTGCCGACATTCTCGATTGCCTACAGAGCGATTGCCTACAAGCATTATTGCGCACATTTAAAAAATTAAAAATACAAACGTACGTTTGCACACAAGACATTATTGCACACATACACATTGCGCACATGATATTATTGTGCACATGACATTATTGCGCTTTGTGTAGAAACTCGTAAACCCATGTTGAACCTCGCTTTGTTTAAAATTTCACGCGTAGGCGGCGGAGGACTTCGCCCCTACGGGGCGAAGCATCTCCCCCGCGTAATACAAATAACAAATCCTACTCAGGTTATACCTAACAAGGTAGACCTAATAAGGTTCACAAACAAAGTTGTAAACCCATGTTGAACCTCGTTTTGCATGAAAAGAATATGCGCAATAATATTATGTGTGCAATGTGTATGTGCGCAATAATGTCATGTGTGCAATGTGTATGTGTGCAATAATGTCTTGTGTGCAAACGTACGTTTGTATTTTTAATTTTTAAATGTGCGCAATAATGCTTGTAGGCAATCGCTCTGTAGGCAATCGAGAATGTCGGCAATTGAAGCTGTCGGCAAAATGTTGTGGGCAAACGAAGCTGTTAGCAAATGGGAATGTAGGCAGTTGAGACCCTCCCGAAATTTAAAAGAGAATCCTTACATAGGTATATTGGCACCAAATTTGACAAAATAAACGACCATATGCATTGCTTAAAAGAAGAGAATGGACTGAACTACATGTGGGAGAAACCTGTTATTATTCATAGATATTTCTTGCATAGATATAATTACAAGTGGACATTGTGGACCTTAATGTAAATGCACACATATCATTAAATAAATCATCGGTTTTATATTAATTTAATAATAACATATTTTATAAAAATGTTTAATAATATTTTATATAGATGATATTTTATATTATTTATATACAATAATAAAATAATAATATTTTATAACAATTTCTAATAATACTGATTATAATTATAATAATAGAAAATTATATATTTTTAATTCTTATAGTTTAGATAGTTTTTTATAACAAACCGTGTTCTTTTTTTAGGCATCTTCATTTAGAATTATGTCGTATTGCTCGTGAATTAAATGTGATATTTGAAATACAAATAACTTTTGAAATGGTGTCGAATTTTGCATTCATAACATCACATTGTTATTATTTCTGTCGTATGTTGGAGCAGAAAGATAAAAAAGTATTACAATCTTTAATAAGTCTTGGTTTTTCGTTTCTTATATGTTTCATCAAGCTGTATGCCGTAAATCATATTTGTGAAAGCGTTAAGAATAAGGTAGGAAAAGCATATAATATATAAAAAGTTATTTAATTCAATTTCAAGTTGCAAAATTTTAGGCTAACAATATTGACAAAATAATTCATCAATTGACAAATTCTCTTCGATATGCTGATATATGGAAGGAGGTAAGAAAATTTAGACAGCTAAATTTTTAAAATATTAAAATTTGTTGATTAAAATTGTATAATTATATATTGTATTCCTATAGATTGATTTCTTTGTTTTGCACGTAACGCAACATCCTCTGAAG